TTTACCCATATATCATATACCCAAGGGAAACATGGGCACTTATTGATTTTCTGTTTATAAAAATAGCTATTAAATAAATAACTTTTTAAATTCGATGATTGAAAAAGTGTTAAAGCCTCATATCGATTTGATATATGTAGAGCTCTAAAATTAATATTTTAAATTTAAAAGATATATATTACTTTGATATGTATACACTAACTATTTATACTCATATATAGTTTTAGATGGAAATGCTTTCACTTACCCCCAGATCTGGCTCACTGTTTGTAGCTTCTAGTAGGCAATGTGTGGATGATGATGATGGTGGTAGACCCGTTATGGGATTCGCTTGGGTTAATTTATGAATGTTCTGGAGACTGCTCCAGGTATCCATGGGCTGATCAGGGCAGGTCATGCCAGGCGATTGGATGCTATCGATAGCCTCAAAGCCCAAAGATTGTCGTGAGCGCGGCTTGCCAAAAACCTGGGCGCTGAGTTTAGATGGAGTTGGCTCAGACACTGTCGGCGGTGGCTGCATGGAGCGTCGCATCTTGCGTGGGACACAGGCTGGGTGCACAAACATGTGTGTCTCATCCTGTGAGGCAGCGGTGGAGTGCAGAGAAATATCATCCATGGAGGCGACAGCGGCTAGCACTGGCTGATCATCTACCAATAGATTGAGTACATCATCGCAAGAGCGCGTTGCCGTAAGATTCGTCGCCGGACTCTTGATCAAATTGAAGCTGGCCAACAGATTGGGGCGACGCAATGAGCAGGATGCCGACGGTGATTTGGGATCAGGATCAGGCATGGCACGCACAGTCAAACGATTATCGGGCACACCCACAATGCCCTGTGGACGCGCTGCAGCTGGAGCCATGGGCGCGAGGCCAAGGGCAGCTGCTGCCGGTGCGCCGGCAAAGTCTACAACCAAGATGCGATCGGATATGTTGGTGCAGTCATTGTTGAAGCCAATGCCCGAATCAGAATTGGAGGTCGTTGTGGAAATCTCGCTGTGATTGGAGGGCTGTGGGGAGTGGGCTGCGCCGGCAGGAGCACCCGCTTCGTAATCCTGCGGCTGTTGGCTGCGACTCGCGGGCGGTAGAATGCGCATGGTGTACATGCTGCGTATAAGATTCACCACATACTCCGAGTTATTGGGAAACTCCAGACAAAGATTCGAAATGGGATCTCTGGTGCACTGCAAGCGGTACTCGTTCGCTCGTGCCACATGCTGGCCATGCTCAATCAGCTTAGTATCAATGACAAATACGTGGCAACTGTGGGATATGCTGATGTGGCCGCCGCTGGCATTCGGCTTGTCCTCCAACTCGTATTCCTCATCGATTTGTGTGTTGTGCACGGCGCTGGTCACCAGCCCAAAGAAACGGTTCTCACTTTCGGACGAGGAGCTCACGTAATTTAAACGTGCCGAAGCATATGTGGCCAGTGTTCCACCGCTAGCGCTCTGCAGCCTCAACGAGTTCGGAGTGATGCTCATGAGCACAATGGTTGGTTGTCGCTTCTCCTGGCGCAGTTTGCGTATGCAAGAGCGCACCGTTTGCAGTTTGGAGCTATGCGATATCTGCTTAGGCATCTCAATTGTGCCCAGATAGCCAACAATTACACGATATTCAAGGGCAGCATTGCCCACAGCGCGCACCATGGCGCTGACATTGGCAACATCCGCCACCTTGCCTACATGTGCTAACGGAGCATCCTCTAGCACGGGACGCAATGTTGCATGATCCGGTAAGGCAGCTACCGCAACAGGGGCCGTAGCTTCTAGTGGCTCTGGTGGCTTCTTTTGTGGCGAGTTGCGCAGTCGGTGCATCTTTGATTTGTGATGCAGAAAACGTGGCTTGTTGCGCACACCCGGTCCCAGGCTAGCCGCCAGCATCTGGCCGCGCGCACTTCGCTGTATCAACAGCGTAGCATTGGCGTTCTCCTCATCGGAGCTGTCCGAAAAATAGTTCTCCGCAATCTGCATGCGAATGCTTCCAAACGAATTGCCTATGAGCTGCACTACAGTCTCGTGCGGCAGCTTAGATACATTGAGGCCGTTCACCGAGATGAGAAAATCGCCGGCACGCAGACCCGCCTGCTCGGCGGGCGAATTGCTGATGATACAGGACAAGCGACATGGCTGTTGGCCGGATATGGTAAAGCCAAAGCCATTATAGCCACGGCGCACCTCTACAGTGCGAGTTCCGTAGTTGGGGCGCTTTTTACGTCGTCTCTGCTGGGGCTGCTGCGGCTGTGGCTGTTGCTGCTGCTGCTGCGACGAAGTGCCCGCTGCAGGTGGCACTGCAGCACTTGCCGCACTCATTATGGGCAATGGCGGATGATGGTGATGCATGGCGCCTACTGCAAGCGTTTAAATGATTAAGTTGAAAATGGTAAAAATAAGTCAACTCCAGTTTAGATGGAACGCACCTTTTTCATTGATGGTCTGTACAGTGTCCGCCGCTCTATGGAATGCGGTTTGTGCTCAATGGCCAGCAGCTCGAGCGCTGGGGCTGGCCTCTAGCCAGAGCTTGTATGTAACAGTGTAACCCACACTAATGCAACAGCAAATGGTATACGCAGCAATCAAATGTATCTTGTTACACGCAGCACAATGAAACTAAATTCAATGAACTTTGCAATCACTACTAATAATTATTTGGACACGCACGCACATATTAATATAACATTTACACTCATTTCAAGCTTGAATACATTAAACCAAACAATTAAAACAAATCTCTTCAACTACGCAAGCGTAGCCAGGTAAAAACATTTGGGTATCACAAAAATAAAAGCATCGATGCCAAATAAAAATGCCATGCTGCATCCCTGGTTTATAAGCGACGGTCACACAAACAGCTGCTGCGATACTATGGCCAGCCAAATGTTGTCAGGGTGTGGTCACCCTATTTTATAGAAATGAGAATATACATTGATGTATTTAGCGCGCATTTAATAATTTGTGCACAGCCATGACAAAATTAAAAAACAATATTAGTACGCAACGGGACTGGTTGGATTGGTGTCGCCTATGCGCCAGTGAAAATGCAAACATCAATGTACGCCAAAAAGATGTTTATATGAGAATTATAAGCAAATGTTTTGATATCGAAGTGAGTAATTTAATGACAAAGATTAAATATATATGTATATATAATCACTTAACACTTACTGTTGGCAGATAGGTCTCGAGGAGCCCGAGCTGGGTGCCAAGTTGTGTAGCAATTGCTACGGCCTGATCGGCGAGCTTGTTAACTTTGTAGAAAACGTAAACAAAGTGCAGCCCATCTTCGAACTGTTACGCCACACAGAGCCAAATGAACAAGTCGATGTCTTTGCCCTGAGACAAGAATATGGTCTACCAGTTGGATACCCAGAGATTACCTACAAATTGGAACCAAAAGAGGCTGAGAGTAGTCGAGAGAACAGCTTGGACCGCGAGAGGCAGTTATATTTTGATGACATTGACAGCAATAAGCAACTGGATCAAACTTTAACCTCAATGCCTACTCAAGTTAAAAGAAAACGTGGACGTCCCAGGGGCTCTAAGAATCGAACAGTATCATCACGCGGGTTGTTCCAAGCGGAATCTGAAAATATAAAATTAGAAACGACCGATGATTTACACGAGGATCTGCCAAGCGTAGATCATATGTGGCTTGATGATTGTAAGTTGGAAGAGGAGAGAAAAACATCAAATGGTGCAATAAAAAGAAAGCGTGGACGTCCCAAGCTATCTCTTAAGTTGGAGTCACTTGATAAGTGGGAAGAACCAGATGCCTTCAATCTATCACCTCTAAATTCAACAGCAGAGTCACAGAAGCGCAAACTAAAGCCACTTAATGATAGTAAAGAAGAGCTGTACTATTCAGATCAAAGTATTATCAAAATAAAACGCGGACGTCCCCCAAAGAAAGATAACGTAAATGGCTTGATTAAAGTGAAAGATGAAAGCGTTTCGAGATGCAAAAATGTAGCGCTGGCTAGACTTTTGCTCACATCTCCAGGGCCCGATGATGAAGTTGATGCTGCACCACCAAATATAAACCAGTTTATGAAGTGTGCAGCTACGTGCAACATTTGTCACAAGGAACTGTCATCGGAGAATGGACTTAGGTATCATATAGAGCGCGTACATATGAAGAAGAAACCCTTTGTCTGCGATGTCTGTGGTAAGCGTGTACGAACGGTTTCAGAGCTCAAAGAGCATATGCTCGTCCACACAGACGATCGGCCATTTGTTTGTCCCATCTGTGGCGCAGCATTTAAAAATAGGAAGCGACTGAATGTAAGTGAATGATTTCAGAAAATTGTATATCGATTTATTTACATAAGTATTCTTCGTCCGCAGATCCATAATCAAACACACGGTGAGCCCAGTTATGAGTGTGAGATATGTGGCAAGAAATTGCAAACTCGTGCCATTTGGAATAAACACAAAAATGTTCACACGAACGAGCGACGATTTAAGTGCAGTATTTGTGGTACTGCGACTAAGAATTCAACAGCTTTAAAGATTCACCTATTAAGTCACACAGGATTGCGACCATATAGTTGCAAGTATTGCAACAAAGACTTTGCCAGTGGCGCAAATTGCAGGGATCATAAAATTAGAAAGCATCCACTTGAATATGAACAAGATGCTGACAAATCCTGTCGTATACAAAGTGTGCCCACCTTGGATGAGCTACGTGCCTTGTAAGAAATTAATTAACTAGTTGAGATTCCTTCCTTAATTTAACTTTATTATTTAATTACAGAGCAGCGGGAATGGAGAAAGGCGAACGGTTGCGTAAACCGAAAACTCTGATAACTGAATAATGCACAGGCCGTTGTAAATATATTTTAAGCATTTACATTTTGAATTTAATACAAAAAATACCAAATCAATAGAATAAATCGGTATTGGTTATATGGTCACTCTAATTTGGTGTTTACTTATTTCTTGTAACCAAAACATGTCCAACGTACAAGTAAATTGTCAATAAACATTTAAGTCAATCCAGCTAGTTTTCTAGTTGCAATGGCCGATGGCCACTGGCTCAATTGGTGTCGTCTCTGTGCCAAAGACGACGTAAGGGGCAACGTCAAGATTTACACAAGCACCAATGAGACCACATGGAACAGTGTCCTGGTGATGGCAGTCAGAAAGTATTTTGATGTGCACGTAAGTAGCATTGCTAAATGATATGCTTTATGTTAAGTAATTATTTCCAAATCAGATGCAACTCGAGGATGAGCTGGGGAGTGTGCTCTGCAAAGAGTGTTATACTCTAATTAGCGAGTTGATTGACTTTGCCGAGCATGTTACTAAGGTTCAGGCCATTTTTGAGGTATTGCGTCGATCCGATCCCAATAAGCAGCTCGACATGGAAGCTCTGCGCCAGCAGTATGGACTACGGGAAGGTGACTGGACGCACATCATCAAACCGGTGTCGGAATTCGAGAACAATCCAACAAAACATATTACTATTGAGGAAAAACCAGTTGCAGCAGAGCTGCCAAAGCAGGAATTCATAGACTTAGGCGCCGGCACGGCGGATGAAACGCCAAAGTCGTTACCAAAAGATGAAATGATTGTCAATAGTTTACCGATCGAAGAAATTTTAGTAGCTGATTGGAATGACGACGTGGATGGTAAAGACAACCCCATTAAGCCTCGCGCAAGACGAAGAATTGTAAAAGTGTCCAAAAAAGAACTTCCTGCTAAAACCGTAAGAAGGAAAAAAGTCAATTTTAAGGAGAAGGTGGAAATGTCAAACTGTACTGAAGACTTCAGGTCTCTACCGGAGAACGTCAATGATAAGCGTACCTACAGCCCCGAAGCAGACTTGGAATTACGTCCAGTATCTGGAACCGGCCAAAAAGATGCAGAACAGCCCCTCGAAGATTTACCCAACAAAGATATTGATGACATTCCCTCCAAGCGTAGAGATATGAAGTGCAGTTGGTGTGGCAAAGTGTATCACAATCCAGCCTCATATCAGAAGCACCTAAGTCTTTCCTGTCGTAAGATCCAGCAGCGCACAAAACGGGATAAGAACACATACTGTGAGCTCTGCAACAAGACACTATCGTCGGCTGCCGCACTGAAGCTACACCGAGAGGGCATGCACGAAAATGCAAAGCCCTATGTGTGCGACCATTGTGGGAAGCAACTGAAAACCATAACGGCCCTAATCGAGCACAAGCTGGTGCATACGGAGGATCGTCCTTTTATCTGTTCGATATGCAAGGCGGGCTTTAAGAACAGAGCGCGACTGAAAATTCACTACCAAATCCATGAGGAACCCAATTACGTGTGCAACATTTGTGGGAAGAAGCTTCAGACACGCCGCACCTGGAACATGCACAAATTGGTTCATAGCGAGGAGCGTAAATTCAAATGTGATGTTTGCGGTGCTCTCTTCAAGCGCTCTAAGACCCTCAAAAAGCACTTGCTAAGTCATACCGGATTGCGACCCTATCTGTGCAACTATTGTGGCCAAACATTCGCTTGCAATGCCAATTGTCGCGCTCACAAGCTAAAGAAACATCCTCAGGAGCTTAAGAAAGAAGAAGGCGATGGTATACCGTCACGCCTAAGTGTGCCTTCACTACAGGAGCTGCGGATCATGTAAGTCCATAGGAGCCACAAGAAGAATAAATAATAAATCAATTAATTTTGCAGGTCACAAAAAATACCCAAAGTGGAAGTCGCCTAACTAATGCTCGTATTCGTCTAAAACTTTAATAAAAAAATTATTTAATCGCATATTAATTTAAGAACTATTAAGCGTAGAATCAAAAAAAAACTCGCATACATATCTACTATGAGTATAGACACTGACTGGTCAGTGGTATAACAAATTTGGTGACTTTAAAAATTAATCTATGGAAGTCACTATAGGTATTGTTAAAATTTATCATGATATTTATTCAAACTACCATTTTCTGAATGCAATAAAATATAAAACATTTCAAAAATGTGGATGATAAGATTAATTAAAGTAAATATGTATTATTAAAAATTTATTTTGCATTTCGATAACAAAAACGGACGGCGATAACTATTTTGACAGTGGGTGTAACTATATCGATATTTTAATACCAGCGTAAACTATCGAATATTAAGGGAAGCACAACAAAGTGAATTGTTTATTAATATTGTTTTGCTTTTTATTTTAACTTGAATAATGACGGGTAGCAGTGCTGTTAGAGATGCCGCTAAAGTGTCACTGACCAGCACAGATGCAACTGGCTGGCATCGCTGGTGTCGTCTCTGCGCCAAAGAGCATCCGGACAACGTAAATGTGTATTTCCGCAACGATGATCAGACATGGACAAGTGTGCTGGCCGTGGCTATTGGTAAATATTTTTGGGTCAATGTAAGTTTTTGCTATTTCATGCACAATCCAAGCATCGCTGATAGTTTTCAATTCATCAGATCAAAATGGAGGATGAACTGAGCAACGCATTATGTAAAGAATGCTGCACGCTGGTAGAGGATCTAATCGAATTCTCCGATCGAGTGAATCGCGTCCAAACGCTTTTTAGCAAACTGCAGCAAGCCGGTTCACAGAATACCTTAGACTATAATGAACTGCGAAAGGAATGTGGCCTGCAAGCAGACGACTGGAAACATATCGTTTCGAAGGAGTCTGCCATTAAAAAGACTGAAGCTGACGCAGTTGAATACATCGTCGATGAAATGGTCGAGTCAATTGACGAAGCTGCAGAAATAATGGATGAAATTGAAGAATCGGAAGAATTCGTTGAGCATGATAATGACAATAACGCATTCGACACGTACGCCGAGGAGAGCCCGGAGAAAGAGTACGTAGAAACAGAATTAATCAGAGAGGAAACGTACGTTGAGCAAGAGGACTCAAGTGATGAGAGACAAACAGTGCTGAAACCGAAACCTCATATAAACTATACTGACACAGATGCAAGAGCATCGAAAAATGGAGATGTACAAAAACGTGCAGAGACAGTCGCTGACACCATCGAGGACCCCGAAGATGCAGATAGTGAGCACAATCAATTTAAATGCACCACATGTAGCAAAGGGTATAAGAATCAATTGGCCTTTAAGCGACACATGGCCGTAATTCATGGTCTGGTGCCCACAGATAAAGACAATCTAGAATGTAAACGCTGTCACACCTACTTTGCGACAGAAGCTCAACTAACTGCCCATTACCGTACGCATTTGCATGCCAAGGACAAGACGGAAAACACGTGTCCCTACTGTCCAAAGTTCTTCACAACAGCCGGAGCTCTCAAACGTCACGTAACGTGCATCCATGAGAATATCAAGCCATATATTTGTGACTGCTGCGGCAAAGGCATGAAGACTCTAACTGCACTTAACGAGCACAAGCTGGTGCATACGGATGAGTGTCCTTTTGAATGTCCGATTTGCTTTAGGCGGTTCAAAAACAAGGCCCGTCTGAAGGTGAGCTTCTATTGAGTTTTCATATGCTACGTCTACTGACCCAATTTGCTTTTAGATACATTCCGATACGCATACGAATAACAACTACGAGTGTAATATCTGCGGCCTAAAGCTAAATACCCGTCGCACACTCAATATGCACCAGCTGGTTCACACGGATGCCAAACAGTACAAATGTGATGTATGTGGTGCTGCATTTAAGCGTGGCAAAACGTTGAAAGCGCATTTGATACTCCATACGGGCATTAGGCCGTATAAGTGCAACTTTTGTGGTAAGGACTTTTCGAATGGCTCCAATTGTCGCATGCACAAGCGCAAAACGCATCCCAAAGAGCTGGCTGAGGAAGAAGCACGAGGTGTAATGCGCTCTACCCTGCTGCCCATGATTACGGAGCTGACCGAAGCGTAAGTTGACCTAATTTAAAATTACCTTCAATATATGCAATTTGTGCTTACATAATTCCCAGATCCAAACGCGTTAAAAAACCGGCGAAACCAGGCACAGCAGTTATGCGTATAAGGGTCACGGAGGAGACAACAGATCCAACAAATGAGAACATGTCCGACGAAGAATTGGCAGCGGAGGCCGATAACGAGGTGCTATATGAGATTGTGGAGGAGTGTCCCTAAGTTGGTTACTGTATTTAAATAAAGAATCCAATTACTTTAATTTGTTTGGTATATTCACATATACAGTAGACTTTATTCACAAATATAGCTTAAATTCTAGAATATGGAAATTAGAAAATTTTCCGGGTGGTTGTATAGATCCTAAATGCTGCTAGGATGGTATAAAATTAGCCAACGCTAGCCCAAACAGCTTAGACAAAATTGCCAACACACAAATCACAAGAAATATAACGAACGAATTTCGAAACAATAAATAACAAAGATTTTTGTAGATGTAATAACAAATAAAAAAAATATTGAATGCGTCACAATTAGATCTATTATTATAATTAACAAACAATAGTTTGGATTGCGACAATTCAGTTGAGTAAATGTAAAAGTGGCAAAACTTTGGAATGTTTAGATCAGCGCAGAAGAGGAATACTTAAGAGCTGTGCTTGAACGTCATATTGAGAACAAAAAATACACCATCATAAGAGCAAACTTTTCACCTACCTGGACCCGATTCTAATACAACGTTTCAGCATTTCCTTAGTAAAGATCACATATGGGGATAAAATACAATTAGAACTATACATAAAAAATTAATATAGATAATACAACTAAGGCTTACAGTTAGATAAATTGAGCATATTGTACACATATACATTTACAAATTCTTCTAAACACATGTAGAACATTGAGCTGTGCCTGACTTAATGACTTAAATAAGTCTAAGATAGCTCAGGACAGCTAACAGCACAGCGCTGAATATGGCCAAAGATGGACGCTTTGCGTCCGCGTCGCATGCAAGATTATCCCGTGGATACTTGTTCAGTGGATCGGGCTCCTCGCCTGGTCGGCATTGTTTACCTTCGGCGGCGAACTGGGCGCCGCACATCTCATGGCAAGGTGGACACATTATGGCCCCTTTATGTAGCCAACCATTCGCAGCGATGCGTATGGAGAGCTTTTGCCCAGGAAACGAGCATTTGTAGCTATAGTTGCCAACTAGAATGTGCAGCCGGCCATCGAAGCATTTGTATTTGTAGCAACCGCTGCCCCAATGCTGCCACTCACGAGTCTGGTGGCAAGAGCGCTCCTCCCACATGGCTTCGCTGTGATCGAAGCATTTGGAACCATGCCCGTAGCTCTCCAGAGCAAAATTCTTTTCGGGCTCTGCAAGAGAAAATTAGTTTTTCAGTCTGAGCTGCTCTTATACAAAGTCAAACGGATATCTTACTGGGATTATTCTCGACGAAGCGACAGTGAGAGCCGCGCACAATGACATTCTTGCTGCGCCAGGTGAACTCTTGTATGTAGGGGCAGTGATCGGCTAGGGAAACAGAGCCGCCATAGAAGCCCTCCTCACCGGACTTGATGTTGCTGAGACTGTCGAAATTCTGATAGGCCTTGGGCAGCTCGTATTCATGCTTGATGAGATTGCATAAAGCCACAGAATTTCGATCGTCTGTACATTCCGTTTGCAGTGGATCCTGTTTGACTTTCGAGCAGAACGGATGTATGGAACGGCCCCTGTCATGGTTCATTTGTATCCACTCCTTGCAGCTGCGCATGGCAAACATGCAGCCCAAGCCCTTGCCCCAGGTCAACGGAGAGGCCATAGAATAGTTGGCACGATACCAGCCCGAGTCCTCCATCAAGGCCAGTGTAATGCGCGAGAATACTGGCGACTGGGTGTGTGTGCCCGTCATAGCCTCGTTCTCGAGGATGCGCTTCTCCCAATGGGTCAGGGCAGTACCTTCGCCGCCCTGATCCTCTAGCTCGGCGCCCTCCAGCTTATTGCAATTGAAGTGGGCTCGAACCTCGGCAACCACACGTGGCGTGACCAACATATCCACCACCTTCTTTACATGGCCTCCGCGCACAGCCCAATTGTGACGCTCCACTTTGCGAATGGTCTCGTTGCTCCACTGATGGATCTGCAATCTGTGAAGGGAGCATACATTAATGATGGCATCTATATTTCTCTTCCCCAACTCACTTTTCATTCAAATAGGGCTTGCCCGTGTCCGCTTTGCGCGGCGTCCGCGGCTTTCCGTTATCGTCCCTGAAGAAAGCGTATAGACTAACCGAAAAGCCGAGCGCATGTAGAATCTCATGTTTTACTGTCGATATCAAGGTCTGCAGCTCCTGCGGCTTGGTGCTGATGCTCTCCGGACACAGGTTGGCATGCCCCGCTATGGGACGATCCAGCAGCGCCTCCTGCTGACAATGAGCCGCATATGCCACCGTCAGACCCTTAAAGCAGCGCTGCGTCTGCCGTGCCGAGACATAGAACACAAAGTCTGCGTTCTCGATGCCTTCTCCAGGCTTTGTATTGTTGTCTATGCGGCAATTCTGACCCGTGCTGTTGCACACGCGACACACCTGTTAACAGGGAGAGACAGAGAGATGGAGACAGGATATTCTTAAACAGAGTTCTGTATTGTAGTAGGCTTAAAGAATGAGTGAGCATTCCGTCTGTTTAACTGATTGACTTTATCAGTTGATTCAATGAGTAGCTTTTTAATTGACTGTCAGCATTGCCTCTTGTTGGACCAACAATTTTAATTGATTAACAGACCTTTCAACTGGCTAACAGAATAGCTGATTGATTGAGTGACTGATTGACCGACCTACCGACCTCATCACTGACTGACTGAAGGAATTGCCGACTGATTGATTGGCAAATTAGTCAATCGACCCTGACGCTGTCTAACTCTTTTAAATGGGTTTACGAAAATTGGTAAATAACTGAGATAATTGTGATTTAGCTATGGGAACAGAGTTAAATACTTGTCTTAGTCATCTAATTTAATGGTTTTTTGTGCTAGTCCGCTTTACTCACATCCAGATGCTCGTTGGGCACCACCACCTCGCCGCACATAGTCGTCGCCTTGCAATGGTCAATGCAGTGGGTGTGTCCATTCTTCACATACACCTGGGTGCTATCGCATTTGCTAAAGGTAATCGAATATATACGAATATGTATTAGTATGAAATTTGCGTTAAGCTTTCGTTGGCCCAAGGGCCATTACACACCGATTAAGCCGGATGACGCCCTTCGTCTCGCGCACCATCAACGCCTGTTCCCAGAATTGCACTGCCTCGGGCAGCACGGTGTCCTGCAAAGGTAATTTGAGCATTATTAAAAAATATTTTACCTTTACCTTAAAAGGGAAAATGTAAACTTACATTAATTAAATTGAATTTCTCTTCTTCTAATCTGCAAGGTAAAGAAAAAAGAAAACAAAATGAAGATATATTTCAAGAGTTCAAGATAAATAAAAAAAAAACTTTATTTAAGTAGATAGACTGACTTTCTTTAATATATATTTCAGAGGCTTTTTAAACAAGTCTTTATGAGATTATGTCTGTGCCAGCAACTGAATGGCACAATGCATATGCTCTGCTTTGCATAGGGTATGCGATTAGTGTTGTCGCGTTTATCATTCCTGGAATTGACCTTGTGCTTTGGCATTGTTAATGATCGGCGGCAATCGTCGACTTTGTTAGCTCGAAGTTTTTAATCGCAGCCAAGTTATGGCATGTCGCAATCGAGCTCTACCTCAATCCAAGCAGAGGCAGCGATAATTTCAACCAATTTTTGGCTGCAGGTGTTGCCCAATTGAAAGACAACTGGCTAACGTTTCGGCAACGCTTCGACTTGACATTCGGCCAAGTCGAATAGTAAACTTTGGCCCATTAAAGCGCAATTAAAGTCAATTTGTTTGCCACACTCTTACTTGACAAACCGTTAAATGGGGTATATGTCTTGGTGTTGCCCATGGGCTGTGGCTTTGTTCAGTAAGTCTCTCTCTCTCTTCATATCTGTCATACCACTTTTGAGTTTTCCCATTGTAATAATTTACACAGATACGGATACATGTGTAGATAGAAATACAGGTATAGGGAAAGGTATAGTAATGGATAGATACGGAATTTTATACGTTGACGTTGATACAATCGATATTTGCTTTATCATAGTTTAATAATCAAGATGACTCTTAAGCTGTTTGTTAATGGAAATATTAATACAATACAGTGAAG